ATATATAAATGATAAATATTAGCGGACTTGCATTTCGACCAATTTTAAAGGATTATTTTTAATTTATCCTTCGTTTCTTTATTAACCCCCCTTCTATAATAGCTCTTCCATCTCGGCTCTCTCAATATCTTATTCCTTCAACTTTTCTTCAATTTTTTGTGTGATATTTAATATTTTTGTTACAGCTTCCTCATGGCACGTGCAGTAAACGGTGCGTTTCTTCAGAAACATTTCCGGGTCTTACTCGAAATTTGTATGAATTCGGGGTACGGTCCGGGTAGTAAGATCGTTGCAATACGTGCCCAATTCTCGCCACATTTACCGGTCTGTCGAGCTCGTCTCGTAAGACTAGCGTCTAGGAAGCCGATAAGCCGAATTAACCACAATTTTTGCACGAGGGATGCGGGCAACACCGCCCCAGAAAGTGGGTTGCCTCGCGTCGCGTCTATCAGCCATGTGATTTATGCACTTGTTGTGACACATTATTGTGGATTCTCAGTATTGTGGTTATGAAAGCCTCGTCGACGTTAGACGCGCGTTAAACGTGATACGAGAAGCCGGTCGTATTCGCAACGATCTCACTGTCGGTCCCGCATCCTCCGCGTCGAACGTAGCAAATCACCACTTCGGGCAATTTGCATCGTTTCTTGCACGTGCCATGGGGATGCAGCAACCGAGATATAAAACGATTCTCGAAACGTTAAGAAGATTTTTGTGAAGAGAGATTGAGGTATGTGATGCGTGGACTTTATTGTAGAAAAAAAATTGAAGTGTTAGGATATAGGAGAAATATCAGGGGTAGAGTTTTGACGCGTTCGGAAAAAGAAGGAAGAATAACGTTGAAATATATATAAATGACAAATATTAGCGGACTTGCATTTCGAACAATTTTAAAAGACTATTTTTAATTTATCCTTCGTTCCTTTATTAACCTCATTTCTATAGTAGCTCTTCCGTCTCGGTTCCTTCAATATCTTATTTTTTTCGCAAATTTTCTTTAATTTA